ATTAAAATACATATACCAACAACCAGAGCTGAAGAGGAGAAAAGAGAAGATTTCTGTCAACTTTTGCAGTCAGAAATTGATCAAACATAAAACTAAAATGCATTAATAATAAGGGGGACTGGAATACAAAAGTTGGGAACAGAAGAAAAAGATTACCACTTGGAAAACATGGACTTGGTGACAGAAATGAGGCTGGAGATAGAATGATAGAATTGTGTTCACTCAATGATTTATTCATTGCAAATCAGATTGACTGAATCTGTGGAAGGAATTGATGGAGAAGCTCAATATCAACTGTGAATACTAGACGAGGTGCCAATTGTAGAATAGATCATCAACTGTTCATGTAAGTTCAACCTGAAGCTCAAGAAAATGAAATAAAATTCACAAGAACCAATATTTGACTTTAAATCTATTCTACATGAATTTAAAAGTCACTGAAGAACAGGTTTGAGGGTTTTGGCATTAAGGGGGCGGAGGGAAGATGAGCTGTGAGAGGATATCATAATTACTATTCATGATGAACACAAAAGCTCATTATAACGACAGAGAAAGAAAATACTGACATGGTTGTCAGAATAGACTCTGAATATTGCATTAGAATGCCAAGAAAACAAGGCAAAGAGAAAGAATCAAGAATTTAAGGAGCTAAAAAGAAGATTTCAAATAGCAGCTCTAGAAGACATAGCAAAGTACTACAATAAAATATGCAAAGAGTTGAGAGACAGAAAAAATCAAAAGGTAATAAATCACACAGTATTTCTTAAACTGAAAAAAATTAAAGAACAAATACAAGCTTCAAGTTGCAATACGTACAGGTGCTATGTACAGAATATTGATCCAGGAAACATTAAAAGAAGATGGAAGGAGTATACAGAGTCACTGTCCAGAAAGAATTGGCTGACACAAAAGAATTTCATAGAACATCATACAATCAGGAGGCAATGTTGATGAAGGAAAAATTTCAAGCAGTTTGGATGGATTGGGGGAAAAAGTAAGAACCCTGTAATTGACAGAATACTCATTGGCATATTCCAATATACAGACACAGACCTGGATATGCTCAACAAGTTGTGCCAGGAAACCATGAGGACAACTACCTGGTCAATTGAGTGGGAGAGATTCATATTTATTCCCACTATAAAAAGAGGGGGTCTTGCAGAGCAGTGGTGCGGGTGCAGAGCAGCAGTGGGCACAGAGCAGCCGCACAGGTAGTCTGATGTGCTGAGGATGGGTGACTTGGCAGCCTAACATCTGTGAATGGACTGCCAACCCTAAGCGCCCCAGCAATGCCCCAGGGACACTAGAGGGTCCTTCACACGCTGAATAGAGACCAACCACCACTGCACAACATGGACAGCAGGATTTTGAATCAGAACTTTCAGAGCTACAGGAACATGAAGCTACGCCGTGGACCTGACCATAACAGAAAGTCACCAGCCAAGCTGCTGTGTGACAGACCTGGCAAGAGAAAAGTTGCTGGGTACTGGCTGAGTTCTATTAAGCCCCAATAAGACCCACTGAGTCTGTTGGAATTTGACTGATTTTTTCTGTGCCTCCACTGACCACCCACAAGTGGGAAGGCTGGTAGGATCCTGACTGGGTTTCTTGGGCACCACCAGTTGCCGGGAGTGAATCCAAAGGCAAGCCCACTGGTAGGAATTTGGCTGAACTCTCTTGGACTATACCGGTTGCCCAGCAACGATTGGGCCAGTGGGATTTTGACTGAATTTTGTGGACATCACAGACCAGAAAGAGGCAAGTGGGTTGGTAGGAATTTGGCTGAATCTTCTTGGGCCCCATTGGACCCAGAACCCTGCTTGGGCAGGGGCTACTGCATGAGAACACCTGGGTAAATGCTGATGGGCAGGGAACATTGAGTCAAAACCACTGGGTGGGAGATGGACAGCTGGATTGTGAATAAAGACTCTAATCATGAACACACCCAGACATCTGAGGTCTGAGTGAAATCCTTCAAGTAGCTGACCTGCCCTTGTGGTCACCCCATCCCTGTGCCTGTACAACCCCATTTGGTTCCACATCTGTGCCTACACGTCCAGTAAATCAACTTGCCTTTAATCCAAAGCACATTGATCTGACTTACCTACAAGCAGCTGCTCTCACAGGCTCTGAACTAACCTTTCCCTTGAGTCAGAGGTACAGGGGAAAACACAAGTGGGGTAGCTGCCCAACTGATTTCTAGAGAATTGTCTTCAGATCAAGAATATATCAATGTCTCAGAGAAAGCAAGCTATTCCACATACTACACAAGTGCAAAGCAAGATATCACCCCCAAATGATGACAGAGTATCAATGTATTTCCTGAAGCCAGAATGTCTAATGGAACTTTTTGACACAGAAATTAAAAGAACAATGAATATTTCTAATGGGTGAAAGACCAAAGACAAACTTGAAGAATTACAGGATATTACAAGCAAAAGCCAGAAGGACCTAAAAAACGAACAAACAAAAAACAATACAGAACAACACACAGAAATCAAATGAGGCATTAGTGGCACTGGAAAAACAAGAAACCATGATCCAAAATATGAGGGTCAATGTTTCAGATGCTGTCAACATGATGGAGGGACACACGAGCAAAGCTGAAGAGATGGAACACAGAACCAGTGAAATGGAAGAAAGAATTGTCACCACTGATCTGCTAGAGCAAAAAGTAGACTCAGAAAGGAAGGAAAAAGAAGAAAACCTAAGAATAATGTGGGACACAATCAAGAGAAATAACATGCACATCATTGGAATCCCAGACTAGGAAGAAGCAAGTAAAGGCACTAAGAAAATTTGTGGAAGAATTACTACAGGAAAACTTCCCAGGCATAATGAAGAATGAGAGAATATATACTCAAGAAACTCCACGAACACCATCTAGGATAAACCCCAAAAGAAAAACACCAAGGCATATCATAGTTAAATTTGTCAGAACCAAAGATAAGGAAAGAATCCTGACAGCAGCAAGGGAGAAACAAAGAGTAACCTATAAGGGACAGCAGATAAGATTAAGTGCCAATTTCTCAACAGAAATCATGCGAACAAGAAGAGAGTAGAAGGACATATATCAAACACTCAAAGAACACATCTGTCAACCAAGAATACTGTACCCAGAAAAATTATTCATCAAATATGAAGGAGAGAACAAGTTGTTCCCAGAAAAACAGCCTAAAAGAGTTTGTAAAAACAAGACCAGTGTTACAGGAAAGACTCAGAGATGTCCTTCTTACAGAGGTACCACAGAAAGCAGTATGGAGCAAAGCAACTAGCAACAATATCAAAAAGAAGTCAACAAAATGATAGTAATAAAACCCTGCCTTTCAATAATCACACTGAATGTGAATGGTTTGAATGAATCACTGAAGAGTAGCAGAGTAGCAGTTTGGATTAAAAACAAGACAAAACAAAATCTGTGAATATGTTGTCTACAAGAGACACACCAGAAAAATGAAAATAAAGAAAAACTAAAAATAAAAAGATGGGGGAAAATATACCAAGCAAATGGCAACAAGAAAAAAAGCAAGAGAAGCAATATTAATCTCTGATAAAGTAAATTTCAAAGCAAAAAATCATCACAGAGAACAAGGAAGGTTACTGCATAATGCTTAAAGGGTAAATAGAACTAGAAGACATAACAATAATAAGTATTTATTCACCAAATAAAAGTCCTGGAAAATATTTAAAACAAACATCAACAAAACTGAAAAAGGAAATAGACAACAATACTATAGTAGTTGGAGACTTCAATACACCACTCTCAAGAAAAGATAGAACTACCAGAAAAAAAAATCAACAAAGATGCTCAAGAATTAAACCACACTAAGCCAACTGACCTCATAGATATTTATAGGCTAATGCACCCCCCCAAAAAAACCCCAAAACCCAAAAACACAGTATACATTTTTCTCCAATATGCATGGACCATTCCCCAGAATTTATCATAATTTAGGTCACAAGGCAAGCATCAATACAATAAAAAACATAGAAATAATACAAAGCATTCTCTCAGACCGCAGTGCTACAAAATTAGAAATAATAACAAGAGGGTAAAGGAGGGAACAAACCCCCCATACTGAACAACACCTTGCTTGAACATGACTGAGTACTAGAAGAAATAAAAAATTTAAAAAGTTTCTTTCAATGATTGACGATGAAAACACCACTTACTAAAACCTCTGGGAAAGAGCCAAAGCAGTAATAAGAGGTCAATTTATAGCAATAACCAAACATATAAAAAAGAAGGAAAAAATGACCAGTGACTCTCTAACCCAACATCTCCAACAAATGGAAAAAGAACAACACGAAAACCCAACACACTCTAAAATAACTGAAATTATAAAAATTATAGCAGAAAGAAATGAAATAGAAAACAGAAAACAATTGAAACCATCGACAAAATAAGGGATTGATTCTTTGAAAAGGTCAATAAAATCAACAAGCCACTAGCAAAACCAACAAAAGAAAAGAAGAAAAAGACACAACTAATCCGAATAAGAGATGAAATTGGCAATGTCACAACAGACCCAATTAAAAGAAAAAGGCTAATATTGCATTATTATGAAAAATTATACTCAAACAAATATGAAAACCTAGAGGAAATGGACAAATACTTAGAAATTCACAATCTACCTAAACTGACGCCAACGGAAATTGACCACCTGAACAGACCCGTTACAGAAGAAGAAATTGAAAAGGTAATACAACAACTTCCAGCCAAAAACAAGTTCTGGACCAGATGGCTTTACAAGTGAATTTTATCAAACATTCACAGAAGAACTGTCACCAATCCTACATACACTATTTCAGAATATAGAAAAATATGGAATTCTCCCAGGCTCATTCTATGAAGCAAACACATCCTTGATAGCAAAACCAGGTAAAGACGCCACCAAAATAGAAACTTTAGGCCATTATCTCTCATTAACATAGATGAAAAATCCTGAATAAAATCCTGGCCAATAGAATCCAACGATATAACAAAAACATAGTTCACCATGACCGAGTGGATTCATAACAGGTATGCAAGTATGGTTCAACATAAGAAAAACAATCAGTGGAATTCAGCACATTAACAAAACAAAGAACAAGAACCATATGATCCTATCAACTGATGCAGAAAAGGCCTCTGAAAAAAATCCAACACACTTTCCTGACTAAAACACTCAATAAAACAGGATTAGAGGGGAATTCCTTCAACATAGTAAAAAATATATATGCAAACCCAAGAGCAAATATTGCTCTCAATGGAGAGAGATTAAAGGCATTTCCCTTGAGAACCAAAGCTAGGCAAGGATGCCCACTATCACCTCTCCTATTCAATATGGTATTAGAAGTAATAGCGATAGCAATAAGGAAAGAGAAGAAAATAAGAGGTATCCAAATTGGCAAGCAGGAGGTAAAATTATTGCTCTACGCAAATGATATGATAGTGTACTTTGAAAACCCTAAAGACTCAGCTACTAGAAGAAAAATACTGGACATAATTGGCCAATTCAGCAAAGTGTCAGGATACAAGATCAACATACAAAAATCAATTGGATTTCTCTACAGTAACAAAGAGAATAAAGAACTGGAGCTGAGATAAACAATACCCTCCACAATAGGTAATCCAAAGATTAAATACTTAGGAGTAAACATAACCAGAAGCACAAAAGATCTGTTCAAAGAAATTTACAAGACATTATTACAAGAAACAGAAAGAGAACTGGAGAGGTGGAAAAATATCCCTTGCTGGTGGATAGGAAGACTCAATATTGTGAAAATGGCAATACTAGCAAAGGGAATTTACATGTTCAATGAAATCCCAACACAAATACCAATTACATTCTTCAAAGAGATGGAAAAGGCAATCTCTAATTTCATTTGGAATGGAAAGAGGCCCAGAATGAGCAAAGCACTCCTTAAAAAAGAAAACAAGATAGGCGATATCTCACTCCCTGATTTCAAAACCTACTACACTGCCGTGGTAGTCAAGACAGCATGATGGTACTGCACCATAGGTCAATGGAATAGGATTGAAAATCCAGAAATCAGCCCATCTACCTTTGGTCAACTGACTTTTGAAGAGAAGATGAAATCAGTTAAATGGGGAAATGACAGCCTTTTTAACAAATGGTGCTAGTAAAATTGGAAAATTATCTGCAGAAAACTCAAGCAAGATCCACACCTCACTCCATACACAAAAACCAATCCAAAGTGGATTATGGACCTAGAACTAAAACTGAGGACTACAAACTTCATTAAAGAAAAGATTGTAAAAAGTCCTAATCCACAACACAAACAGACTTCCTAGCATCCTGGAAAATCTACAACCAGGGGAAGATAAAATAGATGAATGGGGCCTTCTAAGAATCAAATCTCTATGCACATCCAAAAATTTTCCAACAGGTGAAAAGGGGAGGCCACAGATTGGGGAAAAAAAATTGGTAATGCTATGCCAGACGAGGGACTTATATCTAGAATTTATAAAATACCCAGGCACCACAACAAGATAAAGGTAAATAATCAGATTAAAACTTGGGCATAGGATATGAACAGACACTTCACAAAAGAAGACATTCAGATGGGAAACAAGCACATGAAGAAATGTTCATAATTTCTAGCTCTAGGAGAGATGCAAATCAAAACAATTATAAGATATCATCTCACCCCATTAAGAATAGCAAAATTTAGCAGAACAGCAAACAAAAAATGCTGGCAAGGTTGTGGAGAAACTGGAACCCTTATTCACTGTTGGTGGGTGTGTAAAATGGTACTTTCTCAAAAAGTTGCAAATAGAGATACCATTTGACCCAGCAATTCCACTACTGGGAATTTACCTTGAAGAAACCATAACTGCCACCCAAGCAGATATATGCACACCCATGTTTATTTCAGCTTTGTTCGCAATAGCAAAGGGCTGGAAACAACCCAAATACCCATCAACAAACGAATGGATAGAGAAGCTCTGATATATTCATACTATGTAGCATTGAAAAACAAGGAACTCATGAAATGTTATGCAAAATGGATAACCCTGGAGGACATTATGCTGAATGAAATATCTCAGTCACAAAAGGACAAATATTGGGTAAGGCCACTGTTGTAAAACGGGAGTGACATCAGGGTTAAGGAAAGACAGAAAAAGAGGGGAGGAATGGCATCTATTGCATTGAAACAGATGAGGGAGAGAACTGTTTAAAAGGGAAATATGAATGAGTGTTCTTGTCATTACGGAAGTCCAGAATGAAGGCTGTATAGTGGAGTGGACTTGGGGGTGGTGGAAGGATTGCATAACAATGAAAGAGATTTTCTTCCTTTTCAAGAAGAGTGAATTGGGGGTACAGGAGTTGATAGGGAGAAAAGTGCAACAGTGAATGACTGGAAACACGAATTCTCTGTATACTTTCATTATTTTTTTTAAGAGGTGATCTAACAGAGTGTGGAAATTATCAAGCAATAGCATTAATATTAAATCCAAGCAAAATCTTGCTGAAAATTTCCAAAAAAATAACTTAACTAATACCTTGACAGAGAACTACCAGAAATACAAACTGCATTTAGGAGTCTGTGTCACTAGAGATATCATAGACAATGTCAGATGAGTCTTGGCTAAAAGTAGAGAGAGCACCACAAGAATGTTTATCTGTATTTCATTGATAACACAAAGACATCTGATGGTGTAAATCATGACAAATTGTGGCTAACTTTGAGTTGGGTGGGAGTCTCAGAACACTTGATTGTGCTCTTGTCCTATACTTGGTCAAAGAAACAATTGTTACAACATAGGAAGGAAGCACTTTGAGGTTCAAATCAGGAAAGGATTATGATCTGTCACAGTACCTTTTCAATCTATATGTAGAACAGATCATCTGTGAGGCTGGACTTCCTGAGGAAGAATGGGACATCACAACTGGAGGAAGAGTCATCAACAACATGTGTTACGTATATGACATAACATTGCTTACAGAGACTAAGAAGGACCTGAAGTATTTTCCACAGGTCAAGGACTCCAGTCCCCAGATAATTTGAAGCTTAATAGCAAGAAAACTAAGATTTTTGCCACTGAACCAATTGACAGCATCACAGTAGATGGAGAGGAGATTATAATTCTTAATAGCTTCAGTTTGTACAGAACAGTAATCAACACTTTTGGCACTAGCAGTAAGGAAATCAAAAGATAAATTGCATTGGGAAAATTTACTGTCAGGGACCTGTCCAAAATGCTGACAAGCAAGTATGTAAGTCTTTAGACCAGGTGCACCCAAGCCAGGCTATGGTCTTTGTAATTACTTGTCATGCATCAGAGAGCTGTATAATGAATAAATATTACTGAAGAAGTGATTACTTTGAGTCATGATACTAAAGAAATGAACATACGATGGACTACCAAAAGAAAAAAAAAAAAATCAGTCCTGGAGAGGGTGAAAACAAGTTGATCCTTGGAAGCAAAGATTTTGAAGCTGCCTCCCACATACTTTGGGCAAATTTACCATAAAGACTAGTTGTTGGAGAAAGAAATGCTTGGAAGAATAGAAGGATGGCACAGGAGAGGACAAGGATTGAAACAGTATTGGAGCTAAGTGTGTCAGAGACAGTGAGATTGGCTCAGGATATGGTAGGATCCAAACTATTATGCATAGAATTGCTATGAGTCAGAAGTGACTCAAAGTCACAGAACAGTGTCAAAAATCCCAGGTCAAAATTTATGATAAAACAAAATATGAAGCTAATTTTGTTTTCATATTTGCTAGTACTGCACCAATTGGATTAGAGAAAGAGCTCATTATAAGATTTTGCTTTATTGTAAGTGATTTTAGGAAAATTTAAGGCAGAGAAAGGAGAATCATCGAATAATTCTAGCAAGTCTAGCCCTTTAACTATTTTTCCTTTCATAAATTTTATAGACCTCATAATTCAAGACAATAAACTGTATATTCTTACACTATTTGCAGTTGCCTATTGGTATCTTCATATCAAGAACCATCATCGGTCATTCTAATCAAGAATTTCTGAGTTAAAATTTTCCTTATGCAGCCTAAAGGCTGACAGTTTTTAAACTCTATTAATTCTCAAGAGTTTCCCCTCCATCCTTATTCCCTTCAATTGGTGGCCGTATATTTTTCATGTGTATTTCTAACTCCTATAGGATATATAACTTCAGTTAGTTTCAAATTGTTTTGAGGACAGATACTTCATTTTATTTATTTTTGTGTTTTTAACAATTTTAACAAACACAATGCTTTCCTTAAAGCAGAGCTCCACAAATGTTAAATAATATAAAAACAAATTTCCTGTCAATCATATCAATAAATATTTTATAACTAATTCCTCACAATACAGTATTTTTTTCCAAGCATGCTTTTAAAAATAAAATAAATCTCTTTAATCAGTCACTATAATTGACCTCCTAACATTTTCAGAGTAAAGTGTCTCTGATCTGAAACTGATACTTGTCCAAAACTTTTTGTGTGATTTGCAAAATAAGGCAGAACAAATAGAAAACAATTTCTTGTAGAAACAATAATAAAAAGTACACTGAGAGACTTCAGTTTAGATTTCACCTAGGTTAGCTGAATTCAACTTGTAATAATTTTCAGAACATCTGCTTCAAGAATAAAAAAAACCATGAACAAGATAAACAGACAGCCTCAATGTCACAAAAACTTAGTAATTGCTAGGCAGTGATGTTAATTGTCATAAAATCAAGCTCCAGCTTGGGGAAACCCCATTAAATAAAACATTTAACACTGCTGACTCATGCCCTATGTTTGGATAGGGGTCAGATTTTGTGGTCCACAGGGTGTTTGTTGGCTGTTTTTAAAAAAATATCTCCAAAGATCCTTCTTCCTAATCTATACTGGTATAGTAGTTTTGTAATTTATTTAGCACTGTATCATAGATGTGGAAGGAGTATGGAACGGATGTTCAGCTTTCTTATGCCTTTCTTTCCTTACCAGGTGGGTGAAAACAGATGGGATTTGACAGATGAACTGCGGGTCTCTGGCTAACAGTCCATCTGACCGTGTTTGGCAGACCTCCCCCATTAAAACAAGCTTGGAAGCAGGAGTGGCATCCATTTCTGAAATAGCTTGTGTCTGGAAACCCTATGAACTTGGAGAAACGAAGAAAGTTCACAGAGTCGCTATGAGTTGCCTACAACTTGGCGGCATTTAACAACAACAACATAGATGCAGATGCGTAGATGTATATTTGCTGATGGATGGCAGCTTCCTATGTAAGGCACTGAACAGGAATGAACACTAGTGCTACATATTAAAGGCAAGATTTCTACCAGGGTACTGGAAATACTCTGCTTCTGTGTTGCTAGTTAATGTCCAACCAAAACCCATTGCTGCCAAGTTGATTTGAATTCATACCTACAAGATAGAGTTATCTACTCCATAAAGTTCCTAACACCACAAAATAGTGATGAAAGACTGCCACAACTTTTTCTTCAGAAAAGCTAGAGAGTTTGAACCATAGACATTTTGGTTATCAGTCAAGCATTTGATTAGAAGTAAAAGTTCAAGGTTCATGCAGCATTATGCGCAAGGGCAAATCAGTTTCGTTTTCCAGATAGCTCATAACATAACATAACATAATCTAACATAACATCACATCACATCACATCACAACATAACATAACATAACATAACATAACATAACATAACATAAAACATAACATAAGCGAATTTTCATAATATCTTTTTTAATTACACTAAAGCAAAGAATAAAAAAGTAAAGTGTGTGTGTGTGTGTGTGTGTGTGTAGAAATACAAAGAAGTGTAAGAGAGTTCCAAGTTTAATCTGTGATCTACAGTAACATAATCTGTAACAAGTTGTTCAAAAGTTGTGTGCCTCCAGCTCTATAGTAAGACTGAATTTTTAAAACACTTGTGATGGACATTCACACAATGTCCCATTTGTGATAATTTTAGGATTGATTTTCAACTTTTGTAAAATAAGATTGGGGATGCTGCCTAAGGACATTCAGGGTCAAAAACAAACAAACAAACAAACAACAAAACACAAGGACATTAGCAATAAAAACCAATAATTTCTAATTTTCAAGTCTTTTTAGAGTATTATTCTGTCATAGAAATAAGGAGATAAATAGCTATAGTTTAAATTCCTTCAATTTAAAACAAAATAAAGCCAAAGGCGATTTTTGGGTTTTTGTTTTTGTGTTGTTATTTTTTGGTTTTGTTTTTTGGGTTTTTTTGTTTTGTTTTGTTTTGTTTTTTCCTGGAGCAGAAAATTAAAGAGGCTTACAACACTTGAAAAGAGGTCTTATGATTCCTGAAAGGAAAATAACGCTTTTACTTTGGCTCCAGTGGAAGAGGACTCTGTCTACTATTATGAGTTTTTGTTCTTTGAAAACTGATTTCTTAAACTTGTTCTTGGAAATTGAGTTAAATTACAATTTGTGTTTGTCATTATGAAATAAGTATATTTATTCCAATTACTAAGAATAAAGTATTAAAAAATAAAGAATAGGAAAAACCTGAAGATGAAGACTGACAGTCATTTACTCTTGATATGAGAACATGTTCCAACTTTACTTAGCTTATTGAATTAATTTCAATAATTGCTAAGTACTAAATAAATGTAGATCAGTAACACAAGACAAAAACTTTGAAGAAAAAGAAAATGATGTGGTTAATCTTCATCTATTCATTATCTTGCATATATTGGTAACAGATAGGTAATAAGTAGATATTGCCACTTTAATATTTAAACATACTATGTCTGCATGTTAGTGATCAAGGCATTTAGTAATGTTGGGGTTCAGCATTTTCACTTTAAGAAGACTGATGTTTAAATAGCCTCTTGTATGTAATCTTTATGATTTTCTAATTAATTAAGTTCTAGAAAAAGTAACAATAAAAATATTAGTATTTGGGACTATTTTGCATCTTTTAAAAGTAAATTTATCTTCAGTTTTAAACCTCATGTTAAATGAATAAAAGAACTAGGTTTTCAAGGCTTTCATTTTACTGGGGTTCACAATCATCTATGGAAGTAACAGACAGGAAATAAAATTATATACCACATTAGGGAAATGTACTGCAAAAGATATTGCTAAGTTGTTAAAAAGCAAAGATATCAGATTGAAAGCTATGACGATTTTTTTTTTACACACGCTATGGTACTTTCAATTAATTCGTGTTCATAGGAAACATGAACCATGAATAAGGAAGATTGAAGGCAAATTGAGGCCTTTGAACTATGATGTTGGTCAAGCATATTGACTATATCAGAAAGAAGAACAAAGAAACCTGTCTTCAAAGCAGACCAATCAGACCGTTCCTTAAAAGTAAGAAGAGTGAGACTTCATTTCATCTACTTGGGTCACGTTATCAGGCGAATTATTCCCTTGAGAGAAACATCAAGCTTGACAAAGTAGGCTGGTGAAAAGAACTTTAAAGAGGAAATGACACAGTGGAGCAGCAATAGGCTCCAATTATCAGTGGTTTTGAGTACGAATCTGAAGAACTCAATGACACCTAACAAGAATAGTAAGTTTTTATTTTCTTTTTTTTTTTTGTTATTTCATATTCTTTTCCATCCTTATTCTAAACTGTGCATACATTTCTCAAGATCCTACATAATTTTCTCCTAAATATATAATTTTTCTCTTTATGTTTCAGAAATGTTAAAATTTCAGGAGGTCTTCCAAAATGTTTCTTATAAGAAATATTACAAAGGGGTTTGGTACAGAGCTCTCTGGAAACCTTTTCCACGGAATGACATGGAAGAAATACAGGGAGTAGACCTCTGTGATCCTACCTGCACAGGAAATGGCACTTTAGCTCAGGTGAATGTGCAGTTGGCTGTCATCATTCAAATTCAGACACTGTATCCCACATGGGTCCGTGACTACTGAGAATCAGCTTGCTTTTACTGTCAGTTTGCGATTTTACCACTCTACTTGAGTTTCAACAAATACCTCTATGGTGTTCATGTGGCAAACATATCTCTTTAGCTCTGAAGATGGGGAAAAAAACGCATTCAGTACATCATACAATATTCAGGAAATAGATTTGTTTTACCTCTTGCTGACTTTGAAGTCAGAAATATACAAACAAGCTGTGAAACATCTGTCATCGAAGGTCATTTTTTTTTCTGGGGGAAAACATAAATGTTCTTTTATTAAAACACATTAACGAGTGATTGCCAAAGCACATTTGATAGAAACTGGTCTTTCAACTCTGTAGCACCTTTATTCATTTCTACTAGAAATTGGATTAACTCAAAGTTTTCCTTTTCCTTTTCTCTCTTTCTCCCTATTTATATTTCTAAGACCCTGAGCCAAGTCTTTCATCTGAAAATTCATAGAAACACCTCCTTAAAATGCAGGGCATAAGATCTGAATATATAGTTTGCACACAATCTTAAAATTTCCTCTATTCAGCATTATTTTAATTCTTCTCATATAAGTTCAAAGAAATTTTACAATATACAGTCTACTTATAATTCTCTAAAATTGAACTGCAGTTTTAATGTCTTATATTCATTAAATGGGCCACATTCACGGCATGAAACAGAATGGGAAATTTAACCAGATAAAGCTTGAAATGATCTAAACCAAGTACCTAAAACCAAGGAATTATATTTAATGTGGAATAATTTGAAGCTAATATTATGTGTTTGTACAAATACACTTCAATTTACATTTTTAAAATAAATACAGAAATCTATAGTTTGAATCTTTAATCATCCTGCAGATAGAGGTTATCACAATTTATAAAATGAGAAAAATGAATATTGAAATTAGACTGTCAATACCATAAGAATTAATCCAATTCAAAGCAGTTATATTTTTTTCTACTCTGTTCAGCTTAAAAGAATCAAATTTTCCATGTTTTCAAGACAAAGCACTAGGGATTTCAAAACAAACAGAAACTAGTGGTATTGTTAATACTTGTCAAAAAGTTATTGTTTTGTTTTTATGCATTTACCAATATTAAATTTTCAATGCCCATGGTAGTCGCAGTTTGGAATTCAAGACACATTGCACTTGGAAAAGTAAATGTCAAAGACTTCTTTAAAATGTTCAAGAACAAGGATGTCAGCTTAAAGATGAAGGTCATGAAGTAAGCCATGGATTTTTTAATTATTTTCTGTGCATATGAAAATTAAACATTGAATAAGCATTACAGATGAAGAATGTATGCCTTTGATTGTTGTGTTGGAGAAGACTAATAAATACCCTGTGGACCATGGAGTGCCAGAACAAACAAATCTGTCTTAAAGGAAGTGCAACTAGGGTTCTCCTTAGAGACAAGTATAATTAAACTCGGTCTCACATATTTTGGTGGTGCTGACAGGAGGAACAAGTAATTGAAAAATTCATTATTCAGAGAAAGGCAGATGGCCAGTGAAAGAAAGGAAGACCCACAATGAGATGAATTGGGACAATGACTGTAGAAATGAACTTGAGCATTGTCGAGATCTCCAGGATGGTAGAGGAAAGAGCAAGGTTCTGATTTGTAATTCATAGAGTCATTATGAATTGCAGTTGATTGGAAAGCACCTAAGAGTAGCAACAAAACAGTAATGTTTCTCCATGCTTAGGGCTTTATACTGTTAACAGAAATATTGGCTGTTGGAAGCTGTTCTACTGATTATGTGGGGAAAAGACATGATATTCTGCTCTCATAAATATTATTATAGTGAAAGGTTCCCCTATAGGGGAGTTCTACTCCCTATTAGGTCATTAATGGTTGAAAATAAATCTGATGGCACCTAACAGCAATAATAGGATAGTATAAAAATAATTTACTAGGATCCTGTTTAAATGACAAAACCTGGGATATACTGAATATATTGTACATTATTTTCCTTATTAATGTGCTTACATTTCAAAAATAGTGACATTTAAAATCATGGTGACATTCTCAAGGTTACATTTTCTTAAGTGCTTATCTCCTTCTACCTCTCCCTATATACTTACTTACATTCTATAGGCTTATAACACAAATTTTTTCCCTCTCTCCTCTCAAGGGATATGCTTATTATGATGTTCAAACAATTTCATTGTAGTTCTTGTTGTTCTTGGGTACCATTCTGTTGACCATGACACACAGAAACTCCATGAACTACTGCTCATCTGTACCCTGCCCTTTTCTTTCCTATCCTCAATATCTCCAATATATTTGAGCCCATTGTTACACTTATTGTGTTAATCCATCTAGTTTTGTATTTTCCTATCTTTCTATAGCCCTCCAACTTACCAAGCGTGTTGTGATTTCAAAGAGACGATCTATGCTTCTAACATGCTCAAAGCATGTGTGATAAAAAGTTTGTAATCCTTGCCCTCTAAAGAACATTCTGCTTGCACTTTCTCAAATACATACTTGTTCGTAGTTTTGACAGGCCATGGGATGGTCAATACTTTTCTCCAACACAACAATTTAAAAACATCAAGTTTTCTTTCATCATCTTCAGACATTGTTCAACTCTTAGATGCATATCAAGTAATAGAAAAGCCTTTGGATTGTTCAGGAGCACATTAGTCTTTAAACAGGTATCAATGCTTGTAAGCACTTTGGACAACTTTTGACAGCATACTTTCCCAATGGCATATGTCTTTTCATTTCTTGACTCCTGGATTGTGGATCCAATTAAGATGAAATTGTTTCTCAATTTATCATGATGTTGTCTATTGTCCCAGTGGTGAGGATTTTTGTTTTCTTAATGTTTGTCTGTAACTCATGCAGGCTTTAGTGTTGATCTTTGACAGTAATCAATTCAAGTTGTCTTCACTTTCAGTGAGCAAGGTTGAATTATCTACATACGTTCCTGTTGAGTTTTCCTCTGATTTTCATGTCATATTCTTCTTTATATAATCCACCTTCCAAAATATTTTGTTCAGCTTGAATACAGACTGAATAGGTATGGAGAAAGAATACAGCCTTGATATGTGGCTTTCTTGATTTTAAACCATGGAGTGTTCTCTTATTTTGTTCAGAAAACAGCTTCTTGGTCTACTTATAAGAGACACATGAGTACAATTGAGTGTTGGAAGATTTCCGTTATTCTCATTGTTAGTCTTAATTTGTTGTGATTGACACAGTCAAATACCTTTTGGTCAATAAAACACAAATAGACATTTTTCTGGTATTCTCTGCTTTCAGCCAAGATCCATCTAATATCAGCAATACTGTCTCTACTGGCATGTCCTCTTAGAAATTAACTTGAATTTCTGGCACTTCTATGTAAATGTACTGTTCTATACATTTTTTTTTATACAATAAAATTTATTAGACTAGATAAAACCAAACTATGAGTTGGGTCAGTGGGCTGGCATGTCAATTTCTTCTAGGTTGATGGGAGGAGGGAGAGTATTCTAAGAATTAAGAAAATCTAAGTAAAAAACGAAGCCTGAACTGATTCTTAGCAATATTTTACTTGCTTTTGGTATTATTAATATTATTTCCACATTCTGTTTGATCACCGTTCTTGGGAATGGGAACAAATACGGATCACTTCCAGTTCAGTGGGCCAAGTTTCTGCCTTCCAGATTTCTTGGCACAGCCTGGTGAGTGTGTTAAGGATTACATCAGTTTGTGGAAACATGTCAATTGATATTACATCTATTCCTGGATCCTTTTTTTTGCCAATACCTTCAATGCATCTTGAACTCCTTCCTTCATTACCATCAGTCTCTATGAAGAATTTCCATGAGTCAGAGTCAGTTGAAGGCTATTTAACAATAATGACAAAGAAATAATTTGCACTTCATTCCTGAGAAGGATAGTGACCAAAGGTGTTCCTCTCCCATATAAGCTCCCAACTTGATATTCTTTTTTAGTTACTTTACCTACTCTACTGAGTACAAGAAGGATGACAAGTCTCTCTGCACACTCAGATTAGGGAATGGTACAAATATACTGATTAATAATCCAATAGATAAAAAAGTAATAAGTAGAGATAGATCATATTTAGATTGATTTTTTTGAAGTCACTATCATCAAAGAATTGACTGTTATTGAACAGGAAATATGGAAAACAAATTGAAAGTGACCAAGAAA